TCAAGGAATACCTGTACATTCTGTTTATATGCTCTCTTTTTTTCTTAGAGAGCCAGACTAGAAACCAGGAGACTCTGAGTTCTAACCCCCCCCCCCTTAGGCATGAAAGCCAGATGGAGGGACTTTGGGCCAGTTACACTCTCTCAGCCCAACCCACTTCTCAGGTTTATTATTGTGGGAAAAATAGGACAAGGAAGGAGTATTAGGTATGTTCACCACCTTGAGTTATTTATAAAAGTAATAAAAGTAGGAAATAAATAGCTACTCAGATTCCAAGTGGCTTGCTTCTGAACTTCACCACCATTCTATAAAATTTTGCTATATAGTTTAGCTTGGCATTACAAAAAAAAAAGATAATTTGGTTTTAGCTCAGTCTGCTGTATCAGTTACTATGATTTGTAAACCATGAATTCTGGCTTAGTCTATTTGAGATCGTGAGATCAACTGAGAATTGTTCAAGAAATTGTGGCTTAGCAAAACATAATGGTTTGCAACTTATTTAAGGTTGATATCAAAATCTTTGTCTACAGTTACTGTATATTACTTGAGAGAGAACTTTTACTCATTAAAATCATTCTTAGTGGTATCGGCAAGCTTTTTATTTATAGATTTTTATACAGATCTATTAATTTCATTAATTTTTCCTTGTATTAGCTGATATTTGATTGTACTGTGCTAGATTTTAATATTGAAACGAATGCTTGTATTGGTGGTTTATGTTAACTATAATTGGTTTATTATAGTGGATGCTTTTTGAAAAGAACTTTTAAAATATATACTATTCTCCTCCCACAAACTCTCATCCCACTAAGGACAAAGAGTATTCATTGGCCATGGAACACAGAGCAATTGTTGGGGAAAAGAATAAAAGGAACTTGCAATGAAGTATTTTGGAAGAGATTATATTTGACACATGGGAACACTGAATAATACAGTAGTATGTTACATTTCATTAAGCTGTTGGATGTCAAACTCTTTGTTGAAGCAGTTCTGAGTTCAGGGGAAGTGTAGATTATTGGCATGAATGAACATGCACATTTCTCTATAATATTTCTAGCAAAAAAGAAAAGGATGGCATATTACTTTCTTATCTGCTAGCTTTTCTATTGTAGGAGATAATTTTTTCTATATGAAGTGAAGCATTTAAAAGTGGCAATCTATTGTTGCTTTTTAATAAAAAGAAAATATTTCTGATTAATGGTTGAAAAAAAATTATACCATCTGAGTAATAGCTGTGCAATCTTCAATTCAAAGCTTTAAAGAGTTGCAGACATGCCTGTTGAATCTGAAGTCTGCGCAACCTTAGTATATGCAACAACTCTTTTATACATTTGTTACATTTATTGCCTGCCTGGCCTCAGAGAGCTAAAGGCAGTGTACATTGTACTCCTTCCTCTTTGTGAAGTAGGATGGATTGGGTTAAGTTAAGATAGTGGCTAACTCAAAGGCTAAGAATGGGCTTGAATTCAAGAGTTCCTGGATATGGTCCAGTATAGTAAGCCACAGATTTTCAAATTTTGATCACTTATGATTGGTAAATGAATTGTGTGACTCTTCCCATGAATACAATTATTTCCTTTGCATTGAGTTTGGGCAGGAACACACACACATCATGTCATGTGAATCATTGAATTGGAAGAAGCTCAGAAGTCATCTAATCCAACTGTTTGCTTGGTATAAGACAGAACCCTGCACTTTTAGAAAGCTTATTTTCTTTGGAAATAATCAATTTTAAAACCATATGGCAAGGATTAGCTTGCTTAGTTTTAATAATTCTTGAATTCTAAGTTTTACTTCTGAGAAATCCATGAGACTTCAACAGGCAAAGGCAATAGCTTGTCAAACCACACTCCAAACTAATAGCTAGTTTGGCCTTAACCAGTACCCTATGCTGGTTATTCGTAATCTGCCATATATTACTTGTAGCATCAACATGCTGAATTTAAGGGTTCTCTGTTTCAATATATCGGGGCACTTATGTTTTTATAAAATGGCATTGAGGCCCTTTTGAGGAGGTTGAAGTACTACCTGGGAAGATTCTGGAAAAGATAATCAGGCAACGAATCAGTGTACACCTAGAGGCAAACAAAGTCTTAACCAAAAGCCAACATGGGTTTGTTTTATATGTAATTTTAAGAAGGGTGAAACATCATATTAGCTTATGCTCCATGTGATGCTGCTTATTTATTATTGTCTTTGTTGCCCCTTTCTATTCTTTTTTACTTGTTTCTGTTCTAGTTTAATTTGTATTAGCTTTTATTAGGTTTATTAAAAACTTTAATAAAATTATTTTAAAACAGAATCATCAGTGTGTGTGTGTGTGTGTGTGTGTGTGTGTGTCTGAAATAGGAATATTGTAGTAATAAGATTATCGTAATAAAATCTGGATTGTATTTGGATCTACTTTCCCCAGAAAAAAATGGAGATTTTAGATATTCAAATAACAACGAAATACCTGTGCCAGCCTTTCTTAGCCAGTTGCTCTCAGATATTTTGAGGTTCCAATTTTAAGAATTCATCAGCAGGTCAAACACCTAGCTGGAAGCTGTAATTCCAATATTAGGAAGCTAACAAGCTTCAGACAAAGATCTGTAACTAAGTGGTCTGGGATTCTTTTTCTGCCCCCATAAATTGTAATCCTGAGAATGTAACACTAGGGGGTGAAAGTCTTCTGTATAATTGCCCTTTAGTGCAAAATGGGATATCTTGAGTATCTGTACAATGCCTTCTGTAATTCAAGTTTGAGTTGTGCTGTTTAAAAGTAGAATATTATTGCCTGCCTGAATTGTTTGGAAACTGATGTGTTTTGATCTTAACAGGAGAATTGTTACTAATGGCATCAGAGTATCCCAGCAGATCTTGTAAATGACAGGTTATTTAAAATACGATGTTCTCTCTTTATGGATGTGGACTTGCTTTCTTGATAGCTTCCTGCTGATACTGCACTTCAGTTTAATTTATGGGGAGTTGGTGGTACAGAATTTGGATTTGAACATAGCTGAAGAATTTAGTTGTTTCCTCTCCCCCACCCCTGATGGACAAACACAGCTCTCTGTAATGCTTTGCAAGTGGGCTGTTTTATGATAAAGACCATTTCTGAAAAATTCAGTGAGCTTGGAAATTATCAGAAAATTTGTAAATTAATGTATTAAGAAAGAGACTTCTGCAGTGTGAAAGTTGGTTTGACTGCATTATGACAGGAACATGTTGGCCTTAGAGACAAGCAAAAAAATTGCCAGCTTGCAGGGGGGGGGGGGGAGGAATGCTTGCCTCTAAATTCTTATGCTTAACGTAGAAGACAACAAGGTCTCTTCTCTGGGACTTTGCTCTTTTGAAAAGGTTTCCTCCTAAAGCTAGGGTACATTGTGTTTTCTCTAACTTGCTTTGGATTTGAATTCCAACCATCCTAACAATATGCTCATGTTACGAAACTGCAGTATGGAAATTGTAATCCAAACTATATGTGTTTTTTTAACCACATTCTTTTGCCTGCCTACTCACACAACTGAATGCAATTCTTTGGATCCCTGAGGTACTACACAAAAAGAAAGCAGGTTCACATGGTAATTTGTTAAAAATATAGTGTCATTGACTTCTGTAGAATGCATTATTTGGAATACTTTATTAAATTTCTATGCTAATTGGTAAAACAACAACCCTGGGCCACTTTAACAAGCCAGGAAAAGCACAGATCTCAGGTAGCTGAGCCCACAGTCCCAAGGAACATGTTTACTTCCTCAGGTCCAAAAAATTCAAACCATTTCCAAATGACTGGGCAAGACTCCTCCTTAAGCATCTCTTCCAGACTGATATAAGGCTGGCATCCAACTCTGAGTGCCTCAAATTGGATATTGTGTCATTATTACATCACCTTTCTCAAGTGTTCTGAAATTTTGAACTTACACTACTCTACTACAAGCAGAAAGTAGTTCAAAAGTTATTTTGTTGTCATTCTGCTTTGAATTTAACAAGTGCGCAAAGTGTTTCCTTTTGTTTGAAGGACAGATTTAAAAGATGTCTCTGCTAACATGTACTAATCTGGAACAACCCAATATCAGGGAGATGGTAACTGCCTTTGAGGCTGGATCTTGAGAATGGACCCTCATAAGCAAGGGATGTATTTCACTAATACACCAACAATTACTTAAAAGCAGCTGTTGTAATCACTATCCCACATAATTACAAAAAGACCATTGTAACTAGATTCACCCTGGGAAATATGGGGAAAACTACCCTTCAAACATTCTGAAATATTTACTAGCTGAGGCAGAATAGAGAGGAATACTGACCTATCTTGATTTTGACAGCATACTTCTTTTGAATCAGTGTAGCATGTGATGTCAGTGCATCACACTCTTTGCTCATGTTCAGCTTGTGATCTACTAAGCTATTGTGGGAAGTCAGCCTCCCAGAGAAGGAAATATTAAAAGGGCAGAATATTATATTTCCTCAAAGGATCTTAAAGAGGCAGAAAAGCATGCCCAGTTTTTCTTAATAGCCCCAAGTCTCTCTCCCACAAGCAGAAGCCAGCTCTGTAGAAATGCAGATGTAAATAATCCAGGAAGGTTGGAAGCCCCCAGCTAGAAGCTTAGGAAGACAAAGACACCTAATATATATATACCCCACCCAAACTCTAAGACATAATAGGATTAACCTACAGATGCCAAAGGGGCACACTCAGACTCAGGTCAAAATACATGACACAGGAAATACAAAGCTTCAAACAGGAACAGGAAACAACCTCAAGAGCCCAGAGGGTATAAAAACGCACTTCCTACATGTGCTCTCTCTCTTTTCTTCCAGAGCCATCTTTCTGTCTGGCTCTCCTCTTCAATAAACTGCAACCTTCTTTCTAAAGCAGTCGCCATGTTGTTTATTCCCGGCTTGGACTGAACCATGATGAAGACTTTTCCTTCAACACTATTTAGATCCTTTCTGCATTTACATCTTTCCAAATTAAACCTTTAATTTTTCTTACCCAAATATAAAAATGTTCATACCTTATTCTTTCCTTTCAAGCTGTAAGCTCTCCAGAGTCAATGGGAAGCAGGAGGCCTCTAAACTCAATAAAATAGGTAAAATAAAAATAGGCAAGAGGGAGGCTAATTAACAGACACTTAGGATCTATATAATTATAATTATATCATGATCATCCAGAGGGTTTTCCCCCCAACTTTAGTATCCATTAACCACTTCATTAGGTACTTTGTCATAGAAGCCATAAAAGAATCTAATGTTCATTTCCCATCATCTAAAATCTTGGAAAGTTTAAGGAAACAGGAGAATCCACCTCTAGCAATAGAACTGTGTTGATATTAGATCCAGTCCCTGTTCAAGTTTAGCTTGGGGAAAAAGACTTATTTAATGTAATTTTTTATATGGCTGTTCGGATTTACAAATGAAGTATTTTATTTCACTGTAGTTCTGGTATTTCAAACAGGCAGATGAAACCTGCAGACCTGAATTTATTAAATCAGATTAGTTTGTATATTACAGTAAACCAGAGCTGACTTAACCATGAGTAAAATGAATAATTGGCTGGGAACATAAAATATGCTGTGTCATAAATCATATAAATTATATTATGGTTTAGCACAGTCATTCTAACCTAAGTAATAGTAAGTGTAAGTCATCCAAAACACCTGAAAATTGGCATTTTTTTCATATATATACTTTTAATAAGATGAAAGGTGGAGATGGAGGTTAAAGATATGAAAGTTCTCCTTATCCTTCTGGGTCTGCTTTTCCTTCTTGAATGAAATGCCCCCTATTGTTTGGAGGGGGTTGAATAATGAATCTTCCCATTGAGTGTAAGAGAAATCTATTTCCCACTACAGGGATTACTGCCAGCCATGGCCATTGTGCTGCTAAGTATCCCTGGGCAATGCGCAGTAAGGGCAGAGGTCCCAAGACTTGGCATTTGAGCTTCGGCGAGCAATTACAATAACATCACATTTACGTTATGTTTTTACAAAGACAAGCATTCACTGTGTAAGGGTATACAACTTCAGATAGAAAATTAAAAACAAAACAAACACGTCTAACCAATGGAAACTAATTTGAATTAGGGCCAGCTATTTGCTAGTTTAGTATGTATGTAAATCCTCATTCTGACTATTTGACCACTGGAGCTAAAAAGAAGCAAGTATCAGGGAGTGGTGTTCATAGCGTTGATCAGTGGTTAACTGTTTTTGAATTGTATCTCCCAGAGAAGCTTGTCCACAATCTCAGAGTAGAGGCAATAAGCCAGTTTTAGGTAGTTGTTTAATATCATTGTTCTGGCATACAACCATTTTCCGTAATTAAATGCTGTCCAGATATATTGATCTTCATTTTAAGCTGGTTATACCTGTCTTCTCTAATCTGGTGCTGGCTGGAGATGTGAAAAATTAAGGAAGAGCACCAGGTTAAGGATGAGTGATATAAAGACATCAATATATACTAACCATTGCATGAATATGGACATTTGCTTATCTAATAAGATAAGTGGTCTTCAGTGTTCACTAGAATGAATTGGACACATTTTATCAGAGGAGCCAAATCTAGAGTGTCTCTCCCTTAAACAACATAGTGAGACGTAACTACAGAAACCCATACCACACCCATTGCCACTTAGGCCAATAAATGTGTGAGATGTTGAAGTTCCTAAACATCTGATGACATATGGGCTATAGGACTGAGGACTGTTGGCTGAGAACCAGGGTCAATAGCTGTGGAACTACTGGAAGAAAAGTTGCTTATCAATTGCAAATATACAAACACTGAAAACAAAGAAATATCACCAGCATAAGCCCTTCCTATAATTATTTTGCAGGAATTACCAGAATGAATTAGATGGTCAGAACTACCAACGTTCATACCATTTATAGATAGGACAAGGCATTACACATTTTTGGCAGAACAAGTTGGATCCCAAAGGGAGAGCAACCTGTGCAGTTACAGTCTGTCTGAACAGGAGGCAGGCATCTGCCTTTGCTTCCTTCTTAGGATATTAGACAAGCAATGGGTGAGTGGGTGGAGTAGAGTGGGGTGTTCCTTGCTGGCTGAATAACTGTTTTTATGCCCAGCAAATGGTAACCAAAGCAACTGTATTTAGGACTAGGCAACCATCCATTTTGAATTAACTAATAGAAGCATCTCTCTCTCTCTGGACGAAATTAAACATTCTTCAAATGTAACAGTATTTCATCTCTTTCTTTCTCCCTTTAATGATAAAGTTGTGTTACTTTGAAAAAGGCAAAATAAGAACAGCTATGGTAAGAAAGATAGTGGAACAGAATGTTCCTAAGTCTGGCTTTCTTTAGTAGGTGATTAGAAGTTTATTGATGTTTTGCAATAATTTAACGTATTTAAAATAACTGGGTTGAGCTAGGATGCTATTTGAGCCTGTTTTAATTAAGAGTTGTATTAGTGTCCCTGTACTGGTATGTTTTATTCCTTCCTTTCTTACTATGCTTAAATAGTGAATAAGAAACTTTTGTTAGCTGTCCAGCCATGAGATTGTAGAATTGCAATGGGGTCTAGGCATGCTGCCCTTGAAGATGACTTGTTAGCTACAACTGGTACAAAATGTAGTAACCAAGCTGCTATCAGTGAAAATGGATTATTGCAGAATACAGACTCAAAGAGGTTTACAACATATAGATTCTGTAAAAACAAACATTAAAGTCCCCCCCCCAAAAGTGACCTAAGCCAGGGCTTTTCAACCAGTGGTACGGGTACCACCTGTGGTACATTGGCACCTAGCAGGTAGTACGTGACCATCCTAGAAAAGTGGTAGCGGGGAAGGGAAATGAGAGCACCGCTGGGCGGGCAGTCAGGTGTCTTGCTCGGCTCTACCATTGTAACTTCGAACAGTCACTAAGTGAACTGTAACAATGGCACTGTAACCATCTATAAATTATAACCAGCACTTTGAATTGTAGTTAGACACCTATTTGTGACTTAGCTCTTCTGGCGTTTTGTGGCATTGGTAGCTTCTCCCATCAGTAAGTGGGCTGTTGCATTCTGTGAACTGCAGCTTCTGAGTGGTCTTCAAAGGTAACCCCATAAAAAGTGTAGTAGTTCAAACCAAAACTCGCCAGATTTTCCCAGAAGTTCCGTAATTGGTATGTTAGCTGAAGCTGGGCAAAAACTCCCCAAGCCATAGCTTCCATCTGCTTATCTGGCAATTGCCAGCAATCTAGAGTACCTTCAGATCACAATGGAAGTGTTTCCCCATCAAGCATTAACACTGGGAAGAATTTCCTAATTCCAACTTCACAATAATCAGCATGTTAAGCTGCTGAAGCAGAGTCCATGAATGCTTTAAGTGAGCTTGCTTTACCCCCCTTATCACCATTTACCCCTCTTTATCACCATGGAATAGGCTTAAACATGAACACTTACCCATTTCTAGGCAATTCACTGCTATTCTTTCTGGAGCACTGCAGATATGGATGTGTACAGTTTTATAGTTAGTTTGTCCTGTGAAAACATCCAGGAAATATATCTCATATTACAGCTTTGTGCAATGCATGAATTTATATGTCTTTATGTATTTATTAAATAAAAGGGTCAAAACAAATAAGGACTCGTCTGTTTTAATGGATCTGCACTGGAGACAAATTAATTGTATTCAGTCACACTTTGGCCAATAAAGAATATTCTATTCTATTCTATTCTATTCTACTCTACTCTACTCTACTCTACTCTACTCTACTCTACTCTACTCTACCCTTCTAATTACTGATAAGATTCTGAAGGAAAAGCAAAATAAAGAACCAGCAAAATCTTTTGACCATCCTTTTGAACACTATGAAACTCAATATTCCAATGCTAGCTATTCCAAACACATGCTTTCTAACTAGTAATTGTGAAAACTATCACTTAGATCCATCAGAAGAGCAGCAGGTTAAGAAGGACTCATCTGTACTGATACAGACTTAAAAAGTCCCATGAAACGCCAGTACTTGTACCAGGAGTGCACTAAATTCAACTTGAGTCAGCCACTTTAATGCCTGCAATCACTGTTTTTTCATTTAGTGGACAAATTGCAATTGCATTTTGTTCTTAGATGTATAATGTAGATTTATAAAATACAAAGGAGAAAGACTGAACTGGAAAAAGACTATTTTTCCAAGGCAGCATTCCAATTATAGAATATTTCATTTTTAAACTTTTTTTTTGTCTGTAACAATAAGCATTCAGAACATTCAGTGCACCCCGTGACATTTCTAAAGATGGCACCTTTATGACATATTTTTTTTCCATTAAAGGTTTGGAAAGAGAAAGGGCACATAATGTTCCTCGGAGGTCTTTCCAGGACCCTACTGCGCTGCTAGTGCTTCATTTTCTGTCATAATTTCCTCCACTTTTGATTAGCAAGCTCATCCTAACTTTGGATCTTGTAGATGTGGGAGGATTACATTTGAAATGAAAAGAAGAAAATGTCATGCAGTTGGCTGGTCTTGTACACTTTTTCCCAGATAAAATTTCCAAAAAGTCAAATCCCTAATCTGTCTTTAACATTCTGCCTGCTGTTGTCTGAGCAGAACTTGCTTGTGTTCTACAGACATTGCTTAAAACAGCTTCCTTCATTCTGGAGATATCCAGATGTGTTAGACTCACAGCTCTTAGGACTACTGAGCCAACTTGGTCAATGTAACTCAATTGCCAAAGCTTGTAGATCTGCCCCCAAAAATAATCTGTTGGCAAGATGTCCTTTTGAGATAGAAGTTGTTCTGATTGTTTTTTCAGGTAAATAAAATCAATAAATAAAGCAACAGACTTATTACATTTCATTAAGTCTCCCAGAAACTGACAATTCCTGTGAACAATGGGGGCCCATTTTAGGGTTCAGTCAATCAGTTGTATGCATGTTTTCCAGAAGTAACTCTTAAGTGTTTTTATTGGGAAGCACAAGGAAATACAAATGGGATTGACTCAGTAAAAAGCAAACAGTTTTTCAAACCTTGTCCAACATTGTCAAGGATATTATATGCCTCAGCAACTACCGTAATGTTATTTGTGAGGCATTTTTATATGCAAGCTCAAAGCAGCAAGAAGGAATGATGTCAAAATCTGTTAAAAGACACTCCTCTTTCAACACTTAAATTTATATCAGATGTAAGGAATGTACCTGTGCCGTATTTGTGATATGATGCACTGCTGAAATTATTAATTGGACACAAACTGAACTGGACAGTTTTGGCCAAAAAAACAACAAAAACTGATGTCTATTCGCTATGCATTACATCCTCATAGTGATATTGATATATTATACTTGCCTCGCAGAAATGAAAGCAGAGGTTTACTTCAAGTCAAACAAATTATCAAAGAAGAAAAGCATGTGTTAATAGCCAAGAATAAGCATTGATGCAAGTTAAAAACTAGAAGATACTAGATGTACAGGAAACAAAAACTGAATATCAGAATAATGTAATAACACAAATAGAATACTTGAGAGGAAAAGTATTATTACATCGTCAATTTCTACAAAAGATTGAGGAAAGTGGATAAAACCTCGCAATAGTTTACAACTGGAACATCAAAAACGTAAGGCTTGATTTTAGTTGCACAAGAACAAGCTGTTAGAATAAATGCAATCAAGGTCAGAATTGAAAAATCATCAAATGATTCAAAGAGCAGATTGTGGAAAGAAGCGGAAGAAACATCATATACTCAGCTTGTGGAATTTTTTTGTACAAATTGATTATAAAAAACTGACATAACACAGTCACCAAAATGATTCACTGGAACATCTGTAAAAATGATCATGTACCAGTAATGAAAAATTAGTGGGAATGTAAAGTTGAAAAAGTAAGTGAATGAGCAGTTTAAAATATTTTGGGATTTCTGAAGATGATAAAAGTTTTGGCTCATAGCACACCAGATATAACTGTGGTTGAAAAGAAGAAAAAGTGTAGATAATTGACGTGGCAATAGCAGGGGATAGTAAAATAGATTATAAAGAGTTGGAGAAGATCACAAAGTATCAAGATCTGGAAATTGAAATTGAAAGATTATAGTATAAACTGGTCATAATAGTTCCAGCATATTGGGTACCATACCAAAATATTAGAATTAGAATAGAATAGAGCTGGAAGGGACCTTGGAAATCTTCTAGTCCAGCCCCCTGCTCAAGCAGGAAAACTTGCATGGCTCTTAAAAACTGCATAGAGAATTTACAATTGTCAATTACAAAAAGCCACATTGTTTGAATCCACATATATATCATGCCAACGCATTATCACATCCTAGGTTCTTGGGAAGAACTTGATGCATATGAAGGCTAACACTACTTAAAGAACTGGCAACTCTGATTTCACAATTTTGTGTGTATAATAATATTGATAATAAAAAATATGCGGCTACCTACATATAATCCTCAACTTACAACCATTTGTTTTGTGACCATTTGAAGTTACAGTGGCACTGAAAAAATGACTTTTAACTGGTTTTCAGACTTGTGACCATTGCAGCATCCCCATGATCACATGATCAGAATTTGGGTGCTTCATAACTGGCATGTATTTATGACAGTTGCACTATCCCAGTGGTCACCATTTGTAACCTTTCCAACTCTCTTCCAACAAACAAAGCCAATGGGGGAAGCCAGATTCATAAGACAGCATGATTCATTTAATGACTGCAGTGATTCACTTGACAACCATGGCAAAAAGGTTATAAAATGGGGCACAAATCACTTATCAACTGTCTTGCTTAGTAACAGAAATTTTGGGGTTCATTGTCATAATTCGAGGACTACCAGTGATTTATGGGAATGACCTTAGGAGACAGAAGGAAGAGCTGCAGGCTAGTCACAGTCAGACAAGCAGCAGTTGAGTCTGCAGAATGAATGGGGGTATGGCAAACTTCTTAGAAGGGACCCTTTCTAGTTTTTAGGATTATAAAGATGGAGTGGGAAAGATGTGCATTCAGATTGGCAAGATTTTGTTAAAGTAATCTTACAATAAAGTTAGACTAGTACTTTGGGATGAGTTTCTTGTCTGGACTACATCACCAGGCTGACCATACCTGCAGTCCAGCAGTTTTCAGGAGGGGCCCCAAAAAAGGAAAGAAAAACCCACCAAACTCAGGTTGGGACCATAGACCATCCTGGGGGCCAGAAGGATGACAGGAAAAAAAATTGCTTGAAAAAGAAAATTATTTTGCAGTCATTTTCCGAAAATGAGCATAGCTGTCATTTTATGAATATAACCACATTATGCTTTCAGTGTGTCTTGTCATGAGATTGTGTAACTAATGGACAGCTGTGCTATCCCAGAAAAGATGCAGCTCCTTTAAGGAATTGCAAGCAGATGTTAAATCAATTTCCTGGGACACTCAAATCTCCTTTCCCCTTTTTAACTGAACTAATGTACACCCTAATGCGGGGGTCCCCAACCCCCGGTCTGTGGTCCAGTACCGGGCTGTGGCATGCCATCAACCAGACCGTACAAACAAGCAAAGCCCCATCTGCAGGATGCAGGCAGCACACAAAACCACACCCCCTCCAGTCCGCGGAAAAACCTCTCTCCACATAACCTGTCCCTGGTGCCCAAAAGGTTGGGGACCTCTGCCCTAGTACCTGTCCCTTGCTATAGATTATTTGTTTTTATATTTATTATTTCAGATATTTTATTGGTAACACAATAAAATACTAAAACCATTTGAGCCCTGCAACACTATGAGTTCTTTTTCTGGACAAGCTAATTGATTGAAGAGCTCACAACTCTACTGTCAGATGGATGGAAGTCATCAGACATGCTGACACAACATGTGAGCCCATTCCAAATGGCTAACGTAAGTATACATGCTGCCTCATTACTTAGCATCCTCTTTAGCTACAGTTGGCAGCTCCTTTGCGGTTAGGAGTAATCTGCAAATGCCATACATCATTTCAAGTTAGCGCTACCTGAAATGTGAAACCTACAAATAATTATGGTTTCAAATTCTGATTGTTAACAGGAGCTGCGAGTTGCTTTGTTGAACTTAATCCTGGAAGGGCCATGCCAATTAAGTAGCCAAGTAGGAGAAGAGGAAGGTGATGATGCAGATGTTTACATTAAGTAATCAGAATATTTATCACGGTATTTAGACATCATAAATACTGATCATCCTGTGAAAAAATAGCTGAAACTTACTTTTATCAGAATCCTTTGTTAGATCCTGAAAGAAATGAAAGCCATGACAAACTCAAAGCAGTGAAGCTATTTTCCTTATGTTATAGTGATTTGGATAAAGCTTATAGAAATCAATGAATATGCACAACAAAACAGTCATTCCATATTATCCTGATAGCTTATCTCATTGCAGTATTAAGTTGGTCCTCCTGCTGGAAATTCTAATCCTTTGTAGGAAATGAAACTATATAAAAATTATATTATTAGGAAATTAATTGATAGTCTATCTGACTACCACTGAAACCAGCAAACAATGGCTCTGAGAATATGTAAATTTTCTACTTCTCCTTATCCCAAGTC